TATATATATATATATATATATATATATACACGCACATACATATGTATATATAGGCATGTTTTTCGATGTCGTCCTCGTTGATAAATTCGAGCGGTAAATGAACTCAGTCATGATTTTTCGTTGCGACAGGAAATTAAAGCGGTACAGCTGGAAGAATCTCTGATGGAAGGCGAAGGAGAGATGGAAGTTTCGGATTCGGAGGAGGAACCGCAACGGAAAAAGACGCGCAATCAATCGGACGCGCACGACGACGTCGAAAGATTGCAAACATTGAAGGAAGAGAACGACAGTCTTCGGTGTCAATTGGAGGCGTACAAGAACGAAGTACGGGGAAAACTTTGCTCCGTCGTCGTTCGACTCGCGGCGCGGAGAAACTCGTCTGTCGAGACGTTCCGTGCCCACGTGTACCAGCGGTGGTACACGTCGAACTCGAACACTCAGGCCACGTGTACCGCCACAGCTACGCTAAAAAACTGACAACTGCTCGTCGATCGACGACGTAACGAAAGATCGCGCGACGACGTGTCGACGTTTAGTCGAAACATCAAACGGCCCTAACGACGACAAAAGGCCTGGGGGAAATGGCCTGGCACGGAACGTGTCGAGTTAAAGAGAGGCGGAGAAAAGGAGCGAGAAAAGCGGGAATAGACGTTTTTTACGTGTTGCAGGTAGATCTGCTGAAATCCGAAACGAAAAGCGAGATAGACGCAAAGGACAAGCAAACGAAGATGTTGCAGCAAACTCTGAAAGGGATGCAGGAACAGTTGATGCAATCGAGGAAACAACAAGCGCAAGACGACCAGAAGATCAAAGATTTAACGGTGAAATTGAACGCCACGAAGAAGGAAGAACCTAGCGAAAGCGAGATCATAACGCTGGACAAAGACGACGACGTCAACCTCGAGGAACCTCGAACCCCGAAGCAGTTAGTTTTGACGTCTAGCTTGGTACAAATCAGCCAGAAAGACGCCAAACTGATAGGTAGCTTTCGTTTCGCGAATCATCGTCGCGAATTTCCAACCGTTTCAAACGCGTTATCTGCAATCTGCTGACAGACTCCTTTTTCGTTTGCAATTACAGGATTAATAGCAACGTTTTTACACATTCATCCGTTTGGCGCGAGCGTGGATTATTTGTGGTCCTATTTGCAAAAAATGGAGCCAGGTATCAAGCCAAACGAAGTGGAAGCACTGATGCAACGCTTTCCTCAAGTCTTTAAACAAGACTTGTTCGGAATCGGGGCGAACATGGAAAGACGTTGGCAATTTTCAGGTTTCAACGTTTATCGTAATCATTGATTCGGCGACGATCCACGAACCAGTCGACAAGATTTTTTCACAACATCGCGTTACGTCTCGTGTCGTGTCGTGTCGTGTTGGTTTTTATCGCGATGCAATCGCAACTCTTGTAGCGAATCTGTGTACTTCGTAATCTTAAGCAAAACACTTGTAAATAAAATCGAGCGAGCGATTTAAAGGATTTCGAAGCGAGACCAAGGTATTCTCGCTCGAGAGCTTCGAAGCAACGTGTTATTTAATAAAAATCGACCTTGAACTTGTCGCGAAAGAAGCAAACGAAATTGAATTTAAACAAATTTTATCTCGAGTTTCAATTCAACGGTAACGACGAAAGGCGATAAAATTGCACGTTCGGCAAACCGAAGCTTTACGTCGCGTTTCCTCGTTTATCTTCTTATTCTTACAATTAAAACGAACGATTAATTCTCCGTTAAAAGACATCGATTCAATTTACTTTGCACTTTGACGAACAAATTATTTTCCATATTTTTCGTTGCTCGACTTTTTCACCAAATAATTTACCATTTCCGTGCATATTT